CTCCCTTCTCTCTCTCTCTCTCTCTCTCTCTCTTTCTGTGGGCACGTCAGCGTATCTCGCGTCAATCTCTCGTTTACAGTTAAGACGCGAGTCTGTTTATTCGACCCGTTTCTTGTCGTTTCTATCCGCTGCCTTCACGCAATTCCGATCCAGAGCACCGGGGCGATGAAACGCATAATATCAAGAGCGTATAAAGAAGGCCTTCTTTATACGCTCTTGATAATATTAAAACGACGCAGTGTCGCTGATGATTGTGATATGAATTATGATATATGCGATCGTGATGTAGTTTGTTTATAATGTGTCACAGGTGTTTCATCGTAGGTGTGAATGTTCATAACATGATATGTGGGCGTAAAGCCCGGCGCACACGTGAGTAATTTTACTCAAGTAAAATGACGCATGAGTCAAAATACTCATGCGTAATATTTTCAGCGTTCGCAACTTCGCAGCACACGTGAGTAAAATTACTCAAGAAATAAGTGGTAATGCAGATCACGTGACTGTGCGCAGCCAATACTGGGCGCACAATGATTTAAACGCATGCGCTGTGAGTACCGCCCCGGTCAAATTTTTTCCGGCCCGAGAATCAAAAACGAAAATTAGCCCCGTCTAGAGAAAATTAGCCTTGTTGAGTAAATGACTGTGTGTTTTTTAGGCCCCTTGGTTTTCTCAGACGGTGAAGCCTGGTTCCAGGTTTTACATGGTAGATGAGAGATGGATGGGTGTGATGTGGATTCAGCATCATTGTTGCAAGCTCTAAAACTATAGCCCTTCACTCCGCCGCAGGCCTGTGTCGGGGTGAAGGGCTATAGTTCTAGAGCGACATTGTTGCAGACACAAGTCTCTGCCTCCTAACCCTCTCACACATCGCATCACACCATAAAAGCCTGAATTGTTTTGTTTTCGGTGCCCGAGGGCAGAATTCCAATTCAGTGGTTGACTCACTCGTTAACAAAATAATTCGCTACAATTTTCGCGGGGCGGAGCCAGTGTGGTCGTATATATATATGCAATCACCAAGAGAAGAGAATCTTAATGGATGGATAGACTATGGCATTCGAGAAGTCGCTCGAATATCGCCTGATCGCACGCTGGGCACTATCGTGTTGGAATTTAATTTGTTTGGTTTGGTTTTTGGTTCTGCGTTCCATTCCAACGTCTGAACGATATCTTTTTTTCGATTTCTCTCCTCACACGTGGGTGTGTACGTACGTACGTACGTACGTAGCAAGCAGCACGTGTTAACACCGTATGTCTACATCACGAGTGTGGGCTGTGTATGTATGTGTGTGTGTGTGTGTGTGTGTGTGTGTGTGCGTGCGTGCGTGCGT